CTCCTCAAGGTCTAGCCAAAAAGCCAGCAAACCACACAACAGGTTACCCAGAGCAATTAGCTCGAGAAAGTGGTACCCGGTACACGTTCCCGGACTGGTCTCCGACTGCTTACGAACTGGTCCCACGAACTATTTACCAACTGGTCCCAAAGTCGTTACCAACTGGTCCACCTATACCCCAAGTGGTCCACAAGTCACTTCACTTTCCACTAGGACAATCACCACGTGATGATCGCCTTTTGGTACTTGCAAACAAATACCGTAGTCACTATCTACTATCAACGCTTAAACCCTGCAAAAATCGCGACTACTCCATGCATGCGCGTAAAGAGTACTCCCTAAGGACCAAGGAGTACTCCAAAATTAAACACAATTCATATAAAAAATATGATCCAATTGACATTGCGATGTCCTAGGGCAGGACCATATACTCCATCCCTGCATTACATCAGAGTAGCACAAAACTACTCCAACATATTAACAACGACATTGTTGTTATATTTTTTCGTTTGTACACGCTTTTGTTCTTCACTTCTCAGATGCTTTTTCGAAATTAATAAAACCCAAAAACAAAAATTAAAAATTACATGTTGCCTCTGACGGCATTCGAACCCGAACATGCTGGGAGCTAACAACTAACAGCGATCATCTCTACACGTTCAGCTACAGCCAGACATGCAAATGTGCTTTCAAATGCTCAACTTCAATCACATTTCATTAAAACACGAGCAGTGATCCGGTAACAAACAATAAGCTGGCACAGAGACACGACTTGGTCCGCTACAGCATGACAGAGGAACACTTTTGTAAGTACTCCAATATAAACACAAATAGACTACATGGTCCAACGATTTTTTCAAGGAATTTCACTTGACTGTACTCTTGATACACAATGGTAATCAAGGTACCGTACACCGACGCCACTTTTAAGTAAACAAGTCCCCGTTAGCCGACGCCAACTGATAAACAAATACCACCACAAAGCGGATGACGAAAAACTTGTCAACAAGTTCCCGTTAGCCACGCGCACAACTTGGTAAACAAGTTACCGTATACCGACGCCACTGGTAAGCAACCAAACCAAACGATTGTACGAACACCGCACAAAACGGACTGCGAAAAACTCAACTAGCTACAAGCGCGAACTGACAAACCACGACCTATTGCTTCGACAATCGACACTTAATGGACTGGGAGCAGCACAAAAATGTGCAAAAAAGTGGAGAAAATTTTCGACCGAGTTCAGGTAAAAATTATTCATACCAATACCGGCATCCGACACATCTATTCCGACCCCAACGGTCATAACAATCGCATGTGAAGGAATCCGTCGGATAATACATGCCATTCACACGAATTTAATCCTTCACATTCGATTGTTATGACCGTAGAGATCGGAATAGATGTGTCGGATGCC